CAAAATTTGAAGTCTGGCATCAATAGTGTCCAAAATAGAGCAGAATTCGAAAAATTACTGTATCTTCAGGTGCAATTTGCCACGCCCCTAGTGGGCGTAAATATATAATTTTTTCACCCAACTTCATAGAATTAAAACATCAGCTTACATGCATTTCAGCATTCTAGGTTTATAACTTTAGGAGATACAGTTTTATCCGATTTGCCACGCCCCCAATGGGCGGAGATATATCCGCCATAGCTTGGGTGGTCGACGCGGACATACGTACCAAATTTCAGCTTTCTAGCTCTTCAACTAACATGATTTCTGGTATATCGGAAAATGCATTTTCCGATTTGCCACGCCCCTAGTGGGCGGATCGGGAAAACACTTTATAAATCGGAGATATACACGAGTATGTGTTCCAAATTTCAAGTCTCTAGCTTCAATAGCGCCGGAATAGATTGCGTTCATACGGACAGGCGGACAGACGGACGGACGGACAGACGGACAGAGCTAAATCGACTCAGCTCGTCGCCCTGATCAAGAATATATATACTTTATGGGGTCTGCCACGCCTCCCTCTGCCTGTTACATACATTTGAAATGGGCTCAGGGTATAAAAACTATTAATTCGATGCCAGATCGAATTTTTGAAGTAATTCACAAATCTGGGGGATGGACACATTATTAATTTATATTTACGGGTTTTAATTAAGTTTGTTTTCGATTTTTTTATATGTTAAGTCAAAGTGCCTTTAATTGAATTTCGCGCTTTATTTTTTTAAATTTTCGTTTTTCTTAGATTATAAGTTTCTTGTTTACAAAATATATAAAAAGATTGTTGTGTATAACATATAACAAATAAAAATATGCGATTTAAAAAGAATATATATACCACCATGAATAATACTCAAAAAAATCCAGAAAAACATGGTGCCTTTTATTGAATTTCGGGGAGTGTATGTTATGTTTCTTTATTTAAAGTTTCGCAAATTTGAATTTTGATATAGAAAATTTTGTAAGAATTGAGCATACTTTTGTACTTTTCTTAATAATGGCACCTAAGCTAAAAGAGACATCGATAGCTTAGAGGAAAATTATCCTGCATTTGCATGATCAAGGCAAATTTTATGCATAATCTGGAGAGATAATGGAAAGACCGATTTTCTATTCAAATCAACGTGCAGCGCTCCAAGCGATCGGATGGGCGTTAAACTGCTTAGAGAATGCCGAATACCTCGTTTCACAAAAACAATATTACGCCGAGCGTTAAGCATGGTTGTTTGTGGGGTGATGGTCTGGGGTTGCATATCTGCTGCAGGTGTGCGCGAATTGGTATTTGTAGACGGTATAGTGGACAAACATTTATATCTAAATATTTTGAGTGATAACCTTTTCACATTTCAGTTCACATTTAACATTGACAATGACCCCAAGCATTCTGCCCATTTCGTCAAAATATGGCTGGCGTATAATACCGCCCATGTGTTACCGCACCCACCACTATCTCCAGACCTAAATAGAATTGAACGCTTGTGCAAATAATTGGATAGGCGCATCTCAAAACGGGTAATAAAAAAAACGACCTAAAAAAAGCTCTTATTGAAGAATGGCAAAAAAGTGAAGACGTCACTCATATAATAATAATAATTTTTTTCGATGCCAAACCTATTATCAGCAATTATTAAAGTTTAAAGGATACATACCCAATGCTAATTATAGTTATTATCAAATTTTTTCATAACATATTAACCAGGGAACACATAGACTAGACAAGTAGTGTTTGAACACTTTTTTTCGGGAGCTATTTCCCATACCACTTCGTATTTGCTCGGCTCTTCACTTTTAGGTTCGGACTACGAAAATATACGAAAGCACTCATTTCGCTTCATGCGCTCCACCAAGATGGTCAAATATTGAACAAAAAAAGTCACTATGCTTAATTTCTTCTTGCTCTCTCTCTCTCTCTCTGCTCTCTCAAATGTGTATATGTATGTAGGCATGTGAGCACAAGCAGCAGCTCACAAAAATTGAAATTTCTTCGCAGCGAGAACCCATGCCTTCCCTTCTGTGTAAAGAGTATACCTAACTTTTCGAACCGTTTGCCAAGCTCCTACAAAATATTTACGTTTTCATGATTATTTGTGGGAAGGGTATGATAGAGTTGCTTTCGCGACGAGCGTGCACGCACACACTCTTCCTTGCTACATGTACTATGACCATTTGTATGCCTGTGTGCGAGGCTCTTGCTGCCTGTAGCAATTTTAAAGCCCAGCATTTGCATTTGGTCTTGTGGAGTGCTCACACTTACATACATATCTATGTTCGATTGGGTGTACGCAGGTGACGTAATGCTAACAAATTATAGGATATCACTTGTAGAAGCATTTGTATGCCTCTGTGCCTTTACATGTGCGTGTGTGGCGTGTGCCTACCACAACTTAGAATGGTGTGAATATAAGCGCGCCTCTTCAATTAAAACCCAAAATCGTTTTAATTGAAGAGGCGCGCTTATATTTAAGTAGCTGATATTATTTCAATGGTCGTGAGTTTGCCTATCAGAATCAGCGATGCCAATTTTTCTTTTTTCCGGACAGATCTGTACTGTTTTTAAGGGCTTCGTCCGGAAAAAATATCAAACATCCTCTATCCGGAAATCTGTCCTTTTTTTGTGAATGCGAATCGTGTTCATATTTACCCAGTTGGTTGGTTGTTTTTCCAGTTGATCGGTTGTGGATGCAACAGATTTATATTAATTAACGTTGCCAAACAGTTAAACAGAGCTTTAGCATAAAATATACTAAATTGTATACCGATATTAAATGTTAGCTATTATTTATTTGCTACAAATATTCTTGGATTCTTGGAAGAGTTACCATCTCTACTCCCCTCGAGATGTCACCACCAAAGCCGACGCGTCTTGCCTATGACCACTAACCAGAGAACACATAGACTAGACAACTAGTGGAAAGCTTTTTGCATGCTTTTTTTTGAGGCTTTAACACCCCAGACAGCTTTGGACTCGCTCGGCTCCTTACTTTTAGGTTCGAGCTACGAAAAAATACGAACGCACAATCATTTCGCTTCATGCGCTCGACCGAGATGGTCAAATTTTGAACAAAAGATCCCTCTATGCTCAATGTTTCCCTTGCTCTCTCTCTCTCTCGATGCTCTCTGCTCTCTCGAATGTGTATATGTATGTATGCATGTGAGCACAAGCAGCAGCTCACGAAAATTGAAATTTCGTCGCAGCAAGAACCCATGCCTTCCCTTCTGTGTGAAGAGTATACCGAACTTTTCAAACCGTTTGCCATGCTCCTACAAAATATTTGCGTTTTCGTTATTATTTGAGGGAAGGGTATGAAAGCGTTGGTGCTCATAATGAAAATGCTTTCGCGACGAACGCGTACGCACGCAGTATCCCTTGCTACATGTACTATGAGCATTTGTATGCCTGTGTGCGAGGCTCTTGCTGCCTGTAGCAATTTTAAAGCCAGCGATTTTCGATCCCTTGCACCTGCACATATACAGGTGAAATTTACCTTTTTAATAAGAAGCATAAGTACATACATACATACATATACGGGCCAAATAGACTCATTTTAAAGGGTGCATCTTTTAGATGTCATAAAACTAATGCAATTAAAACAAGTAAGAAGACTCTAGTCGAGACTGCTCGACTAGGAGATACCCTGAACCCTCTAAACTGATATTCTAATTAGTCTGCACTTCTTTTCGACACACATACATACACACGCACGTATTAGAACGCGCTCTGCTAACTGCGCAGTTAGCAGCGACTGCGCTTGGGCTGCGCTGTAGTGTGGGCAACATTATACGAATTTATTTGTTGAATAATTTCATTTCTAGACGTACAATCTTAATGAAACTTTCAGGGCGTAATCATGTATGTACATTCCAAAGCACACGTCTCTAGTACTTGAAATACGCCTTTTACAAAGGTGTGGGTGAGGGGGTGGATATAGGGGTGGGGGTAAATTACAACAAAAATCGAAATTATATAAAATACATATAAGTCTACATTTAAAATTTGCAAGCTCTAGCTCTAAAGGTGTAGGAGATATAATTAAATAACTAGCTTTCGATTAGGTTTTTGATCGATAATAAAATATCGGGAGTAGTTATCGATATATAAAAAAAAAACTTGATATGCGCGTGATATACACGGACCTAGGAAAAAAAATTTCAAGTCTCTAGCTCTTATATCTTCTGAAATCGACGCGTTCAAACATACGGACAGACGGACAGACAGACAGACGGACAGGGCCAAATCGACTCAGCTCGTCGCCCTGATCAAGAATATATATACTTTGTGGAGTCTGCCACGCCTCCTTTTGCCTGTTACATACTTTTAACAAAACCATTATACCCTGATTTCCCATTTTCAATGGGTTCAGGGTATAAAAATACCTATAAAAGTAATGGGAAGTGCACTTGTTACTTTAGTTAGTCATCTAAATGTAGATTGTAGATTCAACCTGAATTCGCGGGAAAGCTGATAGCAAAAGCCAATGAAACATATGTTGTCTTCTAAGCTTCACAGCTGTGCGAATATTAAGAGAAAATCGAAGCGATTAATGTTTTTAGTCTATCAAAAACGAAATTGGCACGTAGATTTGCTTTAAATTTGAATTAATCGGAGCTAAATCAGCCATTTCGCCAACTGTGCAGCAGCTAGATTACAATTTTTCCTGCAATTGGCAGTTTAAAAAGGCCAGATCTGGCCAGTAAAAGGCTAAGTTGGCAGCCCCGAGCAGAGTAAATTTTTTCTACGCAGGAAAGATAACCAAAAGGGATTGGTAACTTCGTATTTGCTTGGCTCCGAATCTACAAGTTCGGACAGTCAAAATATGGCACGACAAAGTCAGAGCGCTGCGATTTAATTATTTAATTAATTTTTGTAATAGTTTAAATACTAGCCCTAAATTTGCAAAATTGTATATGGATTCAGGCACTGCACTGTGGGCCAGCGAGCCGATTTTTCGACGAAAATATGATAGTGTCGATACACATAAAAATATATCTACGTTTCAGACTAATCTGACCACGCCTTCCCTAGCCGCCCATATGAGATTGGTTTCCTCTTATTGATACTTGTACGGTAATTAATAATGCTAGCACTCGTTAAATTCAACAAATGTTTTTAATTCATTTTTTAACAATTAAACTTAATATTAATAAGCAAAGTATAAATAGTAAAATATAAGTATACCATAAGTATTTTACATATAAAAATGTTCCTAAAAGTCGTCTTCTATATCAATTTCTATTGAAAACGGATTTTCAGCATCAAGAACGGGAACATTATTATTATTGCCCATGCTACAAAAAATATGGCGAGTTTGGTGATTCCAAAAGGTGGATTACGTCTGCTGGTAGGGGTGGTTTGTTTTGCTGACCCAATCTTTTTGTCAGATAGATGCTCGACACAAGAGGATCTGAGGAATCCATTGCTGTCATATTGTTCTGCCGTGTACTCTTTCGAGCATGTAACCAACTGTCACTCTTATAATATTTGTTGCGAGCCTCTGAGGCGTTCTCGCCAAGAACACCTAATGGAAGGATTGATGCTTCTATTATTTGGTATCCATGAATTAACACTTTATGGACTGTTGCCAACATTGGAAAACATGGATATAAGGACATATATAGTGTTATGGTTTTCTGACAATATTTTTTAAATTTTGTTGGATCAATTGGTAGGTGGCAAGAAATAGAAATTAAAATATTCTTAAAACATGCAATGAGAAATTCATCAAGACCTAAGATTTCAGCAGTAGCTTAGGTTGTGCAAACGCCCTCCTTGTTGTATTGCCGTCGTTAGTATTTTGATTGCCATTCTGCTTAGGTTTATCCACATGTAGACCCATAGCTTTCCACATCTGCATCTGAATCGTCTTTTTTTGTTTCGCCATTTCGTTTTTTCCATTTTCATCTCTCACTTGCCATTTTTAGTTGTTGCAAAAAACGAGTCGTCGGAAAGCAATGAATCACATCTAAGAGAGTGTTGCTCATAGCTTGCAATAAGGGTCAGACTTAAAGTATTGCCAAGCTGCTCAAATAAATCTTTTTGCATTTGAATTATACGGAAACTAGTGTGGTCTAGAAGACTTTGCAGCGGGAATTCACCTACTGACTGGGTTACATTAATATCAAAATGTCTACATCTTGACTTAGCTTCTCTCACTTTGTTGTAAGCAGGAAAAAGTTCGCAAGATCGGGAAATGCTAAGCTCACGAAAGCTGTTGTATTGACTTTTAGTCAATGAATTTTCAAGCAAATATGCTAAAGCTTCATCCTCCGTTAGTGAAACCGAGTCATTTTTCTGAGTAAACAGAGTTTTTCTAGCCTTATTGGGGTCACTCTGACGAGGCCCGGCGTTAACATATTCAACGGGTGGGCGTCCAACCGGTCTTGATGTTGGCGGCTTTGAATTTGAAGACATCAATGAGCTTACTGTTATAGCCATTTTGGACAGTAGCCATTTGGTATGCTTTGCTTTAAATCTGGGCATATTTCTATTGCATTTTACCAAGTTTTTATACCCTGAACCCATTGAAAATGGGAAATCAGGGTATAATGGTTTTGTTGAAATGTATGTAACAGGCAGAAGGAGGCGTGGCAGACTCCACAAAGTATATATATTCTTGATCAGGGCGACGAGCTGAGTCGATTTGGCCCTGTCCGTCTGTCTGTCTGTCCGTCTGTCCGTATGTTTGAACGCGTCGATTTCCGAAGATATAAGAGCTAGAGATTTGAATTTTTTTTTAAAATGACCGTATATACAGCGTGGACGTCGAGTTTGCTTTTATAATTCGATAAATCATCCCGTTATGTTTTTATCGAGTAAAAACATTCAAGTTCAAATCAGGTGCCACTATAGTTAATTGTGAATGATTTTTTTTTTTTTTAATTTCTCAAATATTCAATATAATATGTAGATCATATGCTGAAAGTTTCATTAAATTCCGTTCAGTCAAAAATTAATAAAAAACAAGTAAGAACGTTGCAGTCGGGCGTTACCGACTGCGGAATACTCATTCACATCCCATCAACAATTTAGTAGCTAAGTTTCGCTCTAATACTGTAGAATATACAGGTTTTTCCGATTTGCCACGCCCCAACTGGGCGTAGATATATCCGCCATAGCTCGTGATCTTGGGTGGTCAACGCGGACCTACATACCAAATTTCAGCTTTCTAGCTCTTTAACTAACATAATTTCTGGTATATCGGAAAATGCATTTTCCGATTTGCCACGCCCCTAGTGGGCGGATCGGGAAAATTTTAACACTTTATAAATCGGAGATATACACGAGTATGTGTTCCAAATTTCAAGTCTCTAGCTTCAATAGCGCCGAAATAGATTGCGTTCATACGGACAGACGGACGGACGGACAGACGGACGGACAGCAAGACGGACATTGCACAAAACCAATATACTGATTCACTTTCGTGAATGAGTATAATAATCAAATATTTGGCCAATTAACAATCGCACGTGCAGCAGCTACAACAGCATCGTATGCGTGTGCACACATACATTCAAACTTCTTCTAGAAATATTCGTTGAATCACATCAGCTGTTAGTTTCGTTTAGTTTTGGTTGATGGCGCAGCAGCAGTGAACCTATTTGAGTTTTGCCTGCGCCACTAGCAGGAGTCGGGTGGCCTAGTGTGTTAGCTGCATGACGCTTGATCGAGAAGTCGCGGTTCGAATCCCGATCGATGCAACTGATGTTAATTTTTTTTAATTGTTTCAAAATATTTTTATATTTTCATACATGAGTTTTCTATTTAATTTATATTTTATTGATCGAGAAGTCGCGGTTCGAATCCCGATCGATGCAACTGATGTTAATTTTTTTTAATTGTTTCAAAATATTTTTATATTTTCATACATGAGTTTTCTATTTAATTTATATTTCTAAATACACCGAAATTGAAATTTTAACTATACTTTATGTGCGTTTTTAATAGTTTGGTTATTCTAGCAGATTCTTAGAATCACATCAGCAGTTAGTTTCGTTTAGTTTTGGTAGATGGCGCTGCAGCAGTGAATCTATTTGAGTTTTGCCAACGCCACTAGCAGGAGTGAGGTGGCCTAGTGTGTTAGCTGCATGACGCTCGATCGAGAAGTCGTGGTTCGAATCCCGATCGGTGCAACTGATGTTAACTTTTTTTTAATTGTTTCAAAATATTTTTATATTTTATTAAATGAGTTTGGTATTTTATTTATATTTTTAAATACATCGAAATTCAAATTTCAGCCATACTAAATGGCCATTTTTATTTGTTGGGTTCAGGGTAGTATCTAGTCGAGCACTCTCGACTAGAGTTTTCTTACTTGTTTTGTATGTAAATGTGAAAGCTTCTCACTTTAGTGTTAATTTCATCCTTTTCTCCATATTTAAGTCAAATTCTTTCAGCTCATCATAGATCCAACTCGAAACGGCAGATGCACTACGATTGTTTTGCATGTAGATCTCAAGCAACTGCTCATAAGTGAACTCAACTACAGCTACAATATTAGGGATTTTACACAACGGAGCAAAAAGGAGCAAAAGAGCTTTTATGGATTAGTTTATATACACCTTCCACTATAATAACACAAAATTACTTTTGGCACAACTTGGCACAAAATTACAGACGGACTAGCAGGTTAGCTTTTTTCTACTTTTGGACAGCACAAATGAACGCACACAAAAAACACATTAACAAACATGAGCAAAATCTTTTTAATACACATATTCATACCATGGTGTATCTTTTCCATAATTTTAGTGAAAATTGGTTAAACCACAAAAATTTTGTCACGCTCGCAAGTAAACAAAAATTTTCCCGCGGGCTGGCAAAATTTCACGGATGCATCAAAACAATTAAATTTTTTTGATTCGTCTTAGTCAAAGTATATAATATTCAAGTCTTTTAATTAAAAAAGGTTTACTTTCCATGAAAAAATTGAATTTTCGTCGAAAAATTGGCTCGCTGGTGGCTAGACCCAATATTCATGGACCATACATTAATTTATATTTTTAGCTTTAATATATATTATTGTTTATTATTATGTTGTCCGCTTGACAATCAATTTAAATACAATTACATTTCCTTTTACTACTATAACTTATAATCTAATCTTCCCAAATGTCATGACAACAATCTATTACGTGTTGGGGTGGTGAAGATTTATGTTTCATGAAAAAACCTTGGATTTGAGCTGGACTAACTGATCGAGATGAGGCGATAACTTTTTTTGCAAAAATCACAGAATTTAAAACTTCAGTATCCCCAAAAAATTTTTTAAACATTTCTTCAAGCTGATATTGACTGCAATATCCTATGTACTCCTTTATATCAATTCGACCAGGACGAATCAACGCGGGGTCTAAGCGATCTAGATAATTTGTTGTCATAAAAACAATCCGAGCTTCAGTTGATGCTACACCATCTAAGCAATTCAGCAATCCACTAAACGTTATTCTGTTCAAACCATCATACGCAGATTTTTGTTGCAGTGTAGATTCCCGAGAAACAAATGCAGCATCAATGTCTTCAAGTAAAATTATTGTTTGCTCAGGAGCAACATTTAAAAGATGATTTAATCGATCATCAGTAAGTCCCCTTTCTGATAAATTAAGTAAACATATTCCATATTCTAACTCCCCCGCTAACGCAGTAATAAAGCTTGATTTACCACAACCTGGAGGTCCATATAAAAGATAACCTCTACGGTAAGGGATTCCTCTATGTGTATACCATAATGAATTTCGAATAAAATCATTGCAATCAGCAATAATTTTTTCAGATATCCCAAAATCCAATACCACTGAAGATGTAGGTCTACGTCTTCTTGGTTGTCCAAAGGGTCTCCACTCAGAACCTATTGCTGTGTACATCAGTGTTTTTCCCTCAGTAGCCTGTAAAGCTAGTTCACGAGCTTCTTCTAAGATATCAAAATATATTTTTTTATTATTACCAAACGCTGTCAACGTTACCGTTTCCCAAGGCACGCCCATGTGTAAATCTAACGTTTGTTGTTCTCGTGTCCTCTCAACTTGAATCCAATTATTTTTATATTGAAATAAATGTTTGCCTATACTAGGTATGAACTCGTAACTTGTTTTGACCTGACCATTATCATTTTGTAAAAAAGATGTTTCTACACTTAAATGCTGTGTTTTTTTAGCACCTCTGATGGTTATCCATTTTAGTAGCCATTGGTAAGATTTATCTCTACATGGTACTTCTAACGTAATCATTAAGTGTCGGCGAAATAACACTACGGCTCCTTGTAAACCTTTTCTAAGTATTGCTGCGCTTGCACCAACTCCAAATAAACCAAATCCGGCGCCGAAATATGGGTTTGTCGAAAGATTAGAAATTAATTCCGTCAAGGTCATCTTAAACGAAAAAATATATTATTTGTATATATATTATTATTATTTGGATATTTATTTTTTTTTAATATTAGTTTAGTAAGATAGAACAGATTATAAAATGTAGATGAGGCGGTTGTTGGTGACATTGATCCCCTATCGACACCCTAACGGATAACCTAGCATACACATCAATCATACCTAATATACTGAATTAAGGCTAAAATACATACATACACTACGCGTCATCAGGTTAGCGCCCCCCTTACACTAATTTCCTTAACGTTTTTCTCTGTGCTTATTGCACACAACTTCTTAGTTATACTCATTCACGAAAGTGAATCAGTATATTGGTTTTGTGCAATATACGTCTTGCTGTCCGTCTGTCCGTATGAACGCAATCTATTTCGGCGCTATTGAAGCTAGAGACTTGAAATTCGGAACACATACTCGTGTATATCTCCGATTCATAAAGTGTTAAAATTTTCCGCCCACTAGGGGCGTGGAAAATCGGAAAATGCATTTTCCGATATACCAGAAATCATGTTAGTTGAAGAGCTAGCTAGAGCTAGGTCCGCGTCGACCACCCAACATCATGAGCTATGGCTATCTCCGCCCATTGGGGGCGTGGCAAATCGGATAAAACTGTATCTCCTAAAGTTGTAAACCTAGAATGCTGAAATTTTGCACGTCAGCTAATGTTATGATTCTATAAATTATAAGTCTACGCCCATCAGGGGCGTGGCAAGTCGGACCTGAAGATATAGTGATATTTTAAATTCTGCTCTATTTTTTACACTATTGATGCCAGAGACCTCAAGTTTTGTATTTATACTCGGGCTGATCACCCAAGACCAAAAAGCTTTTTCGGATATATGTCCGCTCATAGGGGGCGTGACGAACCGCTAAAGTTTATATCACCTAAAGTACAATAGCTAGAAGCTATTTAAATTTAGATAATTAAGTTACCAGTAACCTCCTCTATCGATGACCCAAAAATAATTTTTACGCCTCTTTAGGGGCGTGGCATATCGAAAAATACCCTGTAATTTTCACATTTTTTAACGTAAGCATTCAAACTTTGCAGTTAGGGTACCGTTATCACGTTCTAAGAACTGACCAAAAATGAAGTTTCTGCGCCCAGTAGGGGCGTGGAAAATCAGAAAAACCTGTATATTCTACAGTATTAGAGAGAAACTTAACTACTAAATTGTTGATGGGATGTGAATGAGTATTCCGCAGTCGGTAACGCCCGAGTGCAACGTTCGTACTTGTTTTTGTTTTGATTGCATTATCATCATATGAGATGTCTCTCATACCAAAAAAAAAAACGCGAGTGAAAACCCGCTATGTTTTATTTTCTATTCTTCTTTATTTTCGCAAAGAATGCGTGCACTTATTTTACGTCATCAGATTAGCGCCCCCAAGCGCAATTGTAATTATCTAGCTGATTTTGGCAATTAGACTCACCAAATTTTTTGTGAAGCTCAAAGTATTCAATATATTTATAGTATGGGTAAAGAAACAGCTTTATCTTTGGTTGAAAATCAAAGATTGAGGCTTATTTAAATGTGGACTATGCTACCATAAAATTGCTGAAAAAACAGGAAAAAACAGAAAACTAATTGCCAATTTGCTTACAAATAGGGAAAACTATGGAAAAAACTATATAAGCGGTAATAATCAAGTGATTTCACAAGGAAATAGAAGAGAATTAGTTCGGGAAGCTTCGAATTCCCACGAATCGACCACCAAGATTAGGGGTAAAATCGGTGTTAGGACGAGCTTATCAACGGTCCAAAGAGTAATTAAGAAAGTTAATACTTAAAGATACAGAAATAAAAAAAAAATACACCAGTCGATATGTTGAGAAAAGAAATACGCATTAATTTTGCCCGGCCGAGCATGACGTGGTCTAATCAATGGCAGCATGTTGTCTTTTCTTATGAGAAAAATTGAATTTGGAAGGAACTGATGGCTATAATTATTATATATGCAAGCTTCAATTTTTGACATCGCGCATGAACGCACAGGACTATAACACCGTGTTTAAAACTGCTGTTCCGCATTTCTATAACCTGTCTGAAAACTGGCATTAGATTTTCCAGCATGATAATGCTCCAATTCAGACCGCCCGATCTGTGAAGTCCTGGATTCAGGGGCAAAAAATTGATCTCATGGAGTGGCCACTATACTCAGTCGACCTTAATATCATTGGAAACGTCTGGGGATGGTTGGTCAGAAAAGTATATGAGTCCGGAAAGCATTATAGTACAAAGACAGAGTTAATCGAAGGTACTGAACACGCTTGGTCAGCCATGTCCTTGAATAATATTGAACAACTTTATAATTCCATTACTAATCGAATTTTTGAAGTAAGTTCAAACAAAAAACGGCACTACGCACTACTAATATTACTTAAAAATAATAATAGCTTAAAATACAAGTGTTATTTTTGGTCATTAACTTAAGTAAATTGAATTTAACGCAGGGGGCGCTAATCTGATGACCAAATTTTCGTTAAATTACAGTAGCCATTGTTTTTTTTTTTATTTTAAAGAGAAATATATGAAGTATAATACAAACAAATTTAAAGATGAAGCTCTGATGGTTTAGCTTTTATTCAGCTTTGAGATTGAGTGTAAAGGGGCGCTAACCTGATGACGCGCAGTGTACATATAAAGCATCTGAATAGTTATTCAGCCAATCATATATAATTGAATTCAAATGTTTTCAAGAATCATAACGAGCAATCGACAGAGTATGTAACGATGGCCGATACTCCAAAATTAAATAAATCACAAACCGAAGTATACACTGTTTCATCTCCAACCAAGCCTTCTAAGGTACGAGCGTTGTGGACTACATATTAGAGGCCTGCAAGGCCACACTCATAACATAGCAAAATAGAGTTCACTCGAATTGAGACTGAGTGAGGGACATAAAACATTTGTCATAAAACATGGGACATGCAAAATTTCGCATAGGAGTTCTCACTGCCTTCAGTAGAATGAGTGAGAATGAATAAGACCTAAAGGGGAATACAAAAGTTAAGCAAAGCATACAGGCGTCGAGTCATTCGAGTTGTTGCATGTATTTATCTTCGTGTCAACCCTTCGTATTTGCTCGGCTCCGTTGCTTGAGGCTCGAGAAGAGAAAAAAGTCTCACGCCAAGATCAGTGCGCTACGAGCGCTCAAGCGAAAAGAACGTATTACTCTCCCTCTCCCTTTAGAGAGTTTACCGAACTCTTGAAAGGGTTTGCCATTCTCATTCTGAACGTTAGCGGTTTTATGACATTAACTTTCTAACTAAACCTGACAATATAAATAAAATAATGTTTCTAATATTAATTATACATATACAGATATTGTATAACAAAATTACATTGCCCTTCGTTTTTTCGCCATTTGTAGAAAGGGTATGAAAGCGTTGGTACGCATAGCGAATGTTTTCGTTAACATATCACGAAAGTGAAATGAGTATATTGGTCTGTACAAAGTCCGTCTTGTCCGTCCGTCAGTCTGTCTGTCCGTCTGTCCGTATGAACGTAATTTATTTCGCCCCTATTGAAACTAGAGACTCGTGTATATCTCCGATTTAATGTTAGTTTTCCAGATCCTCCCACTAGGAATTCATATTAGTTGAAGAAAGCTAGAAAGCTGAAATTTGGTATATAAATTCGTGTTGACCACCCAAGACCAAGCTATGGTGGATATACCTACGCCCATTGGGGGTGTGGCAAATCAGATAAAACTGTAAACTAATGTTACGATTCTATAAAGATTGATGAAAAATTATATGTCTCCGCCCACAGGGGCGTGGAAAATCGGACCAAAAGATATAGGGATTTTTTAAATTCTGCAATATTTTAGGCACTATCGATGCTAGCGACCTAAAATTTGGTATACAGGCATCCCTTGTATAACGCGGTCTTATACAACGCGGTTTCGATATAACGCGATTTGGAAAAATTAGGTTTCAGTACAACGCGAAATTTAGGCTTATATAACGCAAAGGGGAAAATTCATAATTATAAAATCTGGTAACCCTAATTTGCATTTTATTTGCAGATTTTGTAATTATAAAACCAGTAGAAGAACCATTATCCAATAGCGAAAACTATGTTGAAGAAATACCTTCTGATGATGCTATTGGTCCCCCAAAACGCCCACGTGCAAAGATATTTGAAGACAGTGAAACAGATTATTTACCAAATGCAGTTTGAAGAATAACAATAAAGTTTTTAATAAACCTTTAATTTGTTTTAGTTTGTTTTAAATTTTTTAGTGTGGTCATAACTATTTAAATTTTGTTTTTTGAATTTTTAAATATGTATTTACATACATATGTCTTATTATTATTCATATATTGTGTTTTTAACTGTATAAGAAAGTCTGAACTTTAGTATTGAGTTGAAATATATGTGCATCTGTTATTTTGTATGTATGTATTTTATTAAAAAAAAAAAACAAGTAAGAAAGCTCTAGTCGAGACTGCTCGACTACGAGATCCCCTGAACCCTTGGAACAATAAATATTTTAATAATTTTTCGCGTCTTTCAGCTTTCACAAGAAACACGCACACACATACACAAACAGATACACACACATACACAAACACATACACACACAAGCACCCACGCATAAACACGCATGGGCCGCAGTGTGCGCTTACTATGAGAACTTAATTGTTTAATAACTTTTTTTATGGACGTACGATCTTTATGAAACTTTCAGATTATGATTATAACATGAATATGCATGTAATTGCCAAAGCACAAGTTTCTAGTGTTTGAAATACGCTTTTTACAAAAGTGAGGGTGAGGGGGTGAATTTAGAGGTGGGGGGTTAATTTTAACAAAAACCGAAATTGTATAAATTGCATGTAAGCATACATTAAAAATTTGGAGACTCTAGCAATAAAGGTGTAGAAGATATAATTTTATAACTGGTTTTCGATAAGGTTTTTTATCGATAAAAATCGGGATGAGTTATCGATTTTTAATGATAAACTTGATATCCGCGCTGTAATTACGGACATTAAAAAAAAAATTGAAGTCTCTAGCTCTTATATCTTCTGAAATCGACGCGTTCATACATACGGACAGGCGGACAGACAGACGGACAGGGCCAAATCAACTGAGCTCGTCGCCCTGATCAAGAATATATATACTTTGTGGGGTCTGCCACGCCTTCTGCCTGTTACATACATTTCAACAAAACCATTATATCCTGATTTCCCATTGAAAATGGGTTCAGGGTATAAAAAAAAACCTATTGGAACATAATCCCCAAATTTATATGAAGACTATTTTTAAATAACGCGGAATTATATAACGCGCAATTCTTCTGGAACGTACGAACGATACCTGTATACACGCGGGTTGACTACCCAAGTCCAAAGAGCTATGATGAATATATCTCCGCCTGCAGGGGGCGTGAGTTACTGGTAACCCTTTTGCGCCTCTTTAGGGGCGTGGCATGTCATTTTCACATTTAAAACAAGTAAGAACGTTGCAGTCGGGCGTTACCGACTGCGGAATACTCATTCACATCCCATCAACAATTTAGTAGTTAAGTTTCGCTCTAATACTGTAGAATATACAGGTTTTTCCGATTTGCCACGCCCCTACTGGGCGTAGACACCTCATTTTTGGTCAGTTTTTAGAAAGAGATAACGGTACCCTAACTGCAAAGTTTGAATGCTTAACCTCAAAAAATGTGAAAATTACAGGGTATTTTTCGATATGCCACGCCCCTAAAGAGGCGTAAAAATTATTTTTGGGGAATCGATTGAGGAGGCTACCAGTAACTCAACTATCTAAATTTAAAGCTTCTAGCTATTATACTTTAGGAGATATAAACTTTTGTGGTTTGCCACGCCCCCTGTGGGCGGACATATATCCGACAAAACTTTTTGGTCTTGGGTGATCAGTCCGAGTATATATACAAAATTTGAGGTCTCTGCCATCAATAGTGTCCAAAATATAGGAGAATTTAAAAAATCACTATATCTTCAGCTCCGATTTGCCACGTCCCCACTGGGCATAAACTTATAATTTTATCTTCAGACTTTATAGAATCATACCATTAGCTGACGTGCAAAATTTCAGCATTCTAGGTTTACAACTTTAGGAGATACAGTTTTATCCGATTTGCCACGCCCCCAATGGGCGCAGATATATCCGCCATAGCTCGTGATCTTGGGTGGTCAACGCGGACCTACATACCAAATTTCAGCTTTCTAGCTCTTCAACAAACATGATTTCTGGTATATCGGAAAATGCATTTTCCGATTTGCCACGCCCCTAGTGGGCGGATCGGGAAAATTTTAACACTTTATAAATCGGAGATATACAGGAGTATGTGTTCCAAATTTCAAGTCTCTAGCTTCAATAGCGCCGAAATAGATTGCGTTCATACGGACAGACGGACGGACAGCAAGACGGACATTGCACAAAACCAATATACTGATTCACTTTCGTGAATGAGTATAACCATTAAAAGTTTTCAGCGGTGTTCGAGCCACGACAATCCACGCCTTGGGGTGTGGCGAATAGGCATTTGAAGCGGGTAGCTAAGAAATTTATACATGTATGTATGCGTGATTTGCTGATGTTTTACATAGATTTGGAGTAAATTTTTTTTTAAATGAACCAAACATCCCGTGAGGAGTGGAAACTCGCGATTTTTCATCATAATAATGGATAAAGCTATGCTGAAATATCAGATATACTTAACAGACCTCGAAGCACTATACAGTACATCATTAAAGGGAACAAAAAAGGTAATGCAGTTTTGAATAAAGTCCGAGCTCAATCGAATAGGCAGCTGACAGCAAATGATGAAAGGTGGATAATACGACAAATAAAAAACAATCCTTTCAAACCCGCCTCAAAAATAAAGAACGAGCTAAAAATATATTTACAAAAGGACATCAGTGATTCAACAGTTAGACGGGTACTTCGTAGCAACGGTTATCATGGCCGAATTGCTCGCAACAAGCCATACATAAATAAGAGAAACCGGCAGAAGCACGTACACTTTGCGAAGGAGTACCAATCTAAGTCGAGGGAGTTTTGATATGACGTTATTTTTTCAGATGAGTCGAAATCCAACATCTTTGCATCTGATGGCAAGCACACTGTGTGAAGAAAGCCAAATAAAGAGATGAATGTAGCCAATTTGCGTCCAACTGTGAAACATAGCGGTGGGTCAGTAATGGTATGAGGTGTATGTCGCCAAGTGGAGTCGGTAATTTGGCTTTTATCGATGGAACTTTGAACCAATATGGATATAAAAACATCCTTAAGTCGAATTTAATACCACGTGCCGAAAAATTCGGGATTCGGTCTACTTTTAAGCTCTATGCAGACAACGATCCCATACCTCCTTGAATGCCAAGACATGGGCGCTTTATCGAACATCTTTGGCATATCCTTGAGCAAAAAATTCGAAATAAAATCAGTGCCGAAACCTGCAAAAAGTTGGTTGATTCGATGCCAAAAAGGATTGAGGCACTCAAAAAAGCAAAGGGGGCCCAACGAATTACTAAAACACACTTTACTACTATTAGTTTAAAAAATTTTTCCAAAAACACGGGCTGTACGATTTTGAGCGAACGGTACCTATTTGAAGATTACATATGAACATAATCACTGTGTCAGCGACATTAGTTTTGTTTTATTTTTACCAACATAGCAAGAGGTCGTACAAATTTTCACTTATGTATGTATGTTACTTAGTGACTTAGCACGACAAATAAATAATTAATAGCCGACTGCATGTAATTTTTTTCCCTTTAGTCTAGTTAACTAAAAAGTTGAAATTTTAAAACAAAATACTTTATGATATATAAATTTATTTCTGCCCAGTGTATAATAAACCAGGATGTTCCTTTCCTTTGCAGTTCATAAAGTCATATGTATGTACGTATGGATATGCACATATCATATTTCACATTTAACTAATATTTAATTACCTTGTTAGGGCCAGATAGTATCTGGCAGATACTATGTAATATTATTCATTAAATTTATTATTTATCTTCAAATGTACGCATGTCCACGATTAAGTAATAGTGCTTCAAAATGATCGGATCAGTATCGTTATAGACGATATTTTCGAATTTTGAAAAAACATCGATATGGTTTCTCAGTATCGATATATCGACAAAATGGTTAATGACAGCCCTGGCATTTAAGCTTTTTTCCCGTCAGATCTGGCTTTATTTGAAGTTCCATTGCGGGAAAAATTCGAAAACGGCGGCCTGCGGGAATTCTGGCTTTAAAAAATTAATTTAGCTCTATTTTAGCTTTATTTAATTTTCATTTATTTATTTTGATTTATTTTGTTTTTATCTCTGTCAACACTAAAAATCATGAATACAACTATCGATACATGATTTTATATCATACAATCTATCGAAATCATTTCGTGGTATGAGCTACAGGTCTTGTTTGTTAACAAAGAAAACAAATGTGCACGAATTGGATGGATACAGAAAGTAAAAATTGATTTTGGGCAAACTCCAACAAAAACCACAGAGCAAGAGATAGCACTTTGTGCAAGAGATACCTCTATGTGGCAAATCACACATTAATTGCTCCCATCAACAACCTAGGTATTCTCTGCCAAACAAAATTATGCGACAGCATGAGCGTTTAGCGATTTAGTCTACGCCGTACTAAATGTACAACATAATTAAACATGCGTTGGCTCCTCATTTTCTTGAGGTTCTTAGAAATAAGATTGGAAACGTTAAATTTATTTTGGCTTTGGACAAAAAAAGTGACAAAGCGGGTCGGTAAATAACATAGCTCGCAAATAACTGTTAACACTTTTTCGTTGTCTGCAAAAAAGTGTCTTTCACTGACACAGTCAAAAAAACTCAGACAGAAACTGTTTTTGTCGCGTCTGGCTTAGCTCTCTCGCGCTCTGAGGGAGACAGTTGTTTCTGTTTTCGTTTCCTCAAGTTAAACACTGATCGTTTGCTTGAGTTAAATGAAGCAACGGTAAGTTGCGTTTGTATGGGTAATCACGCGCGATTGCTGCGTTCTTTTTGTATGTATGTATGCGTGTATTTACATGCACACGAAGGCAAAAACATTTTCTGCTGAGTTTTTTAGTCAAAGTGTTTTTTGCTGAGAGGCTTTGTGTGAGGGAAAATCGTGTTAGTTTTACGCGACACTCATGGGAGAGCGTCACACGAATGAGTTATTGCATTGCATCTGAGCGAAACAGATGCTAAAGAAAACAG